AGCTTACAGCCATCCATTGCAGCACTCCAGTCATGAGAAGCATCCCACCATGTTTCTGTGATGGCAACTACATCTCAAGTTGAGTTACATGTTTGTAAGGCTCACTGTATTTCTACGCATACTAAATAAGCATAGTCCCAAAGGTGGTGGTTTTTAACTGATAGGCTATATGATTTTGTTGGCAGCAGTGCTGAAAACTCAAAGATGCTTGTTCAAAGGTGTTCATAATTGTAGGATTAGTCAACAAACTGCAGATGAGAGTACTTGTGAGTATGTTTTTGTGGTCACTTTTTCAGCATTGATCCTCTTTCAAATAGAGCTGGAATAGATAACGCTGATAGTGTCAAATGCTAAAAAAATGCTGTACCAAACATTCACAAAATATGAAAAGAGACAATTGTACTAAAGAAACGGGAGACTTCTATAAAGTCTGGTAGTGACAGGCTATTTTGAAGACTAGCATTAGAGGGCTTTAAAATAGGTAAATATTGTTTAGAAACACTGGAAAAGGATTTGAAGAATAGGAAACCTAAGTTCTGTGGTCTTCCATTTCAAGTCTGTTAGGTGCATTTGACAAGAGTTGTTTTTTTTAGAGACATTGTGCTCTGAGCTTTTCCAGTTAGAGCAAAGCCAAGTAACTGTTTGTTTAGAAATACAAGCATATAAAGGAAGACTTCACTATTCTCCTACCTACAATTTAAGATACTTAATGTACAGTGAGATGCTGACTTTTACCTCCAGAACTGGTAAGGCAAAACTGTATTCTTTAACCCCAGAATTGTGAATACTGATAGACACTATTTGTTTGGCTACTCTTTTGATGTTTTGATTAGTCTAATGATACCCACTGAAGTAGTAACTCCAGTGGCGTTATGCTCTGTATGAACACAGAACAATACTTGAAATTCCCCAGCTCACTTGAAGAGTAATCCTTTCTGAAGGTGTTGGCGGTACCCTGAAGGGAGTACTAATATTAAGCTAAGAACAGCTACCAGCTGTCAATGGGTGAGAAAATCAGTGGAAGTGTGGTCTTAGCAAGACAAATGTCAAGCAGCCTTATTTTTATTTTAACTTGGGAATGTGCCTTGTAATGAATGTTTTGTAAAAACATTAGCAAAAATAACATGGTCATTTCAAGGAGCGGAGCTAAAAGGAAAACAATGCTTCAAAAATCTTGTGAAGAAAGTGCAATGTCTTAACTAAGAAGTTCTAGTGCTTGTATGCTTTAACAAGATGATGAGAGGAAGCAGCATGTATTTGCTTGGGGACAGAATTCTTTTTCTTGCCCATGGAAGAGCTAACTGAATCTTTCTCTAAGTATGATGGAGCCGATTAAAGGATAAACGCCAATTTCTTGGAAAATCTTGTGCCAAACCAGCATGTTCCATGCTGTGTGAAACATCTCGAGGTGCTGGTCCACGAGGGAGATTCTTTTGTGTTCACAGTGTTCCTTCTGCTGGCCTTGCATTAAGCATTGTTGCAGGAAGGGGACCTAGCTGGGCTGTAGAACTTTAAGCAATGGGGGACCAATTATAAACAGTAGAGGAACAGAAAAATTAAAGCCGGAGGATATGGATAGAAGGAGATACATTGGATAAGAACAGCAGTTGTGGATGAATTCATCAACAGTGCTTCTCTGGATTGTGGAATTAATTCTAGAGCCCTAATGGACAATAGCTATCTTTTGAGGCTCTTAGGATAGTGTGTGGCTTCTATGTCATGGTACCAGTAGGTATAGTGGTATTATGGAGAGCCTATTGGACAAGGGAGCTGTAGAGAGAGGTGGGAAATCCTTCAGGGATGTAGTTGCTCATCTGCTTGAGGGACTGAGATCTATTCCTGTCTTGATTAGAACGAAATGCTACTTTGTGCTGAGACTGGTGTGCATGGTTGCAAGGGCTTTGTTCTGGGACTTCATGTGGGAAGAAGTGTCCTGGAGGTGGCAGAGTGGAGGACACCGGGGAAACAGTTAAACTTGTTCTCCAGCTGTTCCTTAACTCTGTAGTGGAGAGACTGTGTAGGGGCTATTTCTGTAACTTGTGAATATGAGGGCAAAAGTGCAGACAGGCAAAGTGGCATAGACGAGGACTACTTGGAAATGCCAATGTTGTGACAGTATCGGCATGTGGTAGCTTATGTATTGCGTGGGCTGGAAGGCAGTGAAAGTGATGTTATGTTTTCTGAGAGGTGTGCCAGAGCATGTCGGGGAGCTACAGCTTTATGAGATTGTTATTTCAATAAGGAATAGAATAAATATAGCATGTCATGGAAGAGACCCCACAACTTTTGTAAAATAATTACTTTTGCATTGTTTTTTCATAAATTCCTGCCTCAACTACTGGAGTTTTTTTGAGGGAGTCAGTAAAGTAGTGGAAAGGTAGGTTGGGGTTATTTTTGTTGTTGCCCAGAAGGTTTATGAGAAGTTCTATTATTTAAGTCCTTTTAAGTAAACTAGGAAGATGGGGTGGGGGAGAAGGGAAGAGATCAGTATATGTATTGAAGAATAGTAAGTGATAGTTAAGATGCAGAACACTATACAAAGATTAGGCTGTTAAAGTAAACTTAATTTCCTTAAATGTGGATGTTTAGGCCACTTGTCTGGGACAAAGACCCAGTGTTGGGCAGCCTCCAGTGTTATCTAGAATGACTTCTTAACCCAGCATCTTCTGACTGTTCCTTTTATGGTATACCTTGTCTTTTTTGCCCTTTTGTTTCTAAGTGTTGTACTTTTCCACCAGGGGATGGGATCGCCAGGGAAAGTAGTCCATTTATTAACAGTGCAGAGATGGACAGAGGAAACATGTATGAAGGAAAGAATATGGCTCTCTTTGAGGTAAGTTAAATACCCCTAAAACATTTCACCTTCTATTGAGGCTCTGGTAGTAACACAAAACCAAACAAACCCCTGTTTTCTTTCTCTCTTGAAATTTAGCAGGGGGAAAAATAAGTTTTAATAACTTCTCAGTAGTTTGGTTCCTCCTAATGTTCTATTTAAGTGGATTTGAATGATGTAGTAAAAAAAAGTGAAAAATTTTTTCCCTTCTATATTTTGGTTTATCTGTATAGGCAAGAACAGTAAATTTTGGTATGCATTGATGTGAACATATGAAATAAGCCTTCTTGCATTTAAAATTTTTGGACTAGGATCTAGAAATTGTTGTTAGACAAAGCTGCTGAAAGCTTTATTAGTGGATTTAACAAAACAGTGTCCTGTCTTAAAAGGATTAGCAAATATATTATGTTGAACAGGGGAGAGACAGACTGCTTTTAAAGCAGCGAAACTATAAAACAAACTGATAGGCCATGACTTAGTTATATTGTCCAGTTACAGTGTAGACCATACCATAGCTCTTTCTACTTTATATTATAAACATCTACTTTATAATGCAAGTTTAATAGCTGTTTAATGCACTGAATGATTGCAGTAATTGGTGGCAGGGGGGGAAGTATATCGGTGTGGTACATTTAGGTGCCACTTTTGCAATGAAATAGTACTCTTAGTAAAGTTTAACCTAGGTTCTTCTGTTCTAGTGGTATCAGCTGGTCTTGCTTTGATGCTTGCTGTTAACAATAAACAAGGTTCTTCCAACATTGCTTAGCTATCTTGCTAAGCATTCTACCCACTCTTCTCTTGTTGTCCTTATGCTCTTCTCTTGTTGTCCTCTTATGCTCTTCTCTTTTTCCTTTCAAATATCTTTGTACAGAGGACATGAACTTTCAGTTCTTTCTTTCTGCATGACCCAAATAAAGTATTGTTACAAGTAATATTACCTATGTACAATTACATATTATATGTATATGTGCCTGTATTTTCAACAAATGAATACTTCGGAAGTACTATGTGTGGTTTAAGATAAAATATGTAAGCCTGCAACAGCAGACTTGAGAGTGATCCTCAAGTATCTTAGTGCTTGAGAGAATCATTTGAGGCCTTTGTCACTCTCTAGACACAAGCAAGATGCTGGAAAAACACCCCAATGACTTCACCTTGCCAGTAGAATCCCCTAAAAACCGTACTGTGATAGGAATAGATTTTTATAATTAATAATGGCCCTTCTCTAGCTTTCCCTTATATTCCAGCTGTGCAAGCTGCATATTGTAACATAGTGTAAAAAAGTGAAAGAAATATTGCAAGATAGCCATATAGTATTAAACTTATAGAAAGATTTAGAACTCTTGTTGGTTGAAAGCTGACTGGTATTTTGTCATGATAATTTTTGGATTTGCATGAATTGGGGCTGATCTGTTGAGTATGTGTTTGAAGTAGTATCGTAAAATCATGACTTTAAAAAAAATCTATGTAATAAATGCAGTATTCTTAAAATCCCAACAGGAAGAAATGGATAGTAATCCCATGGTGTCATCTCTTCTTAATAAACTAGCGAACTACACTAATCTGACTCAGGGTGTGGTGGAACATGAAGCAGATGAAGACAGCAAACGAAAGGAAGTCAAGGTATTTAAACTTCTAATAAGTTATTGAGACAAAGCTAGCCACAAAGAGGTGGTTTTTTTTTTTAGCTGGTATATTAATACAATTTAATTGGCTAGGTTTTTACCTAAAGTTGAAATTTAAGGAAAACTTTAGATTAAACAGGTCAGTCTTTTAAATCCATGAGCGTATTTGCTCCTGTTAACATGGTAGCAGTTTTTCTGAGTAGCTCTCTTGTTTCTGTGTATTGAAGTATTTTTAAAACTTAATGTACACATTCCAAGGAAACATTTTTTTGCATTCATAAAAAATATGATATTTATCAAGGGTGCGTGGAAAGGAAAGACAAAGGCTCTGTTTGGCATATCCCTAAACACACTTGCAAGACAGGAATGGAATTATTCAAGGGTTGTCTACTGGATACCCAACGTGTCTGTCTAGGCTTCTGTAGAAGTGGAACGTATTGCAACAGTCAGAGTCTGCAGTCATTGTTGGATTGATCCCTCTGTAAGCGGGGAGCTCTTTCAGAAGAAGAAAGCTTGGATCAAAAACATGTGACCTGACAGTATAAAAACTCCAAGGCAAGGAGGGATGGTGAGCTGAAACTGGTTGAGTGTGGTGGCTGAAACTAAGAAATTTAGGGTAGGTAATGGGAGTCACTTGCCCTTGTGTAGGAGAAGGGATGCTGCTACTGAGTTTGTATGTTGAGCTATGGAGAAAGGAGGAGAAGCACATAAGAATAAATAAAAGGAAATGAGCGCATAGAAGAAGAAACACGTATGAAAAGGTGCTTGAAAGTAAAATTAGAACTGGAGCTCATTTGACTGGAAGAGAGACTTACGGTATGGTAATTGACTGTTTGCAGTAGAACCGTTTGCATTAGAACTTGACTAGTATAGGAAGTTGGTACCAGGACAATTGCAAGATTGCAAGAGTAAGGAATAAAGTCCAGCTGTTTGTTTTAGCTTTTTCCTTATCCTGCATTTGTTTACGTGGGGGGTTTCTTTGTGTTTGTCTTATTGTGCTTGTTCTGTATTTGTTTCTTCTCATCTGAAGATACAGCTTGAGATATGAGAAAACCAACACTGGTCAACTTGCACTTTCCTTAGTGTGATGCCTGTCCTCCATCCACCTGCTGTGAAGAGGTTCTTGTTAATTGCAGCACAGTGTTAGTCCCTCTGGAACTGACTAGCCAAAGGAGCACCATGACCTCACTTGCACTTAATCTCCTTTGAGCACCACCTTGTGGCCTGAAAACACGATTTCTATGCATGTGTGTCTCAGTTCCATGTCTGAAATGAAGTGATGGTTACGTAGTAGCTTGGCAGAGTAGCATTTTTAATGGTGTAGCGTTGATGTTGCATGTGGATATTGCCCAAGATGCTAAAAGTAAACACTATAGTCTAAGTGGCATTCCATGGTTCCTTATAAGTACTTGGAAACTTAGTGTTTTCTTAATAATTTTTTTAACCTTATAAAGCACCAATGCTTGCTTGTTTAATTAAATTGATTGCCTTTTTTCACAACCTGAGTTGTGATTTTAAGAAGAGATTCTTTACCTGGAAACCTACTGTGTATAACTATTGCTTCTAAGCTGAGTATTTTAAGGCCTGATTTCTTCCTAAGTGTAGAAGGCTGGAACTTTAATGATGAAGCCTGAATGGTTTTGTGTGTGTTTTGACCCATGAAGATCACAAGCAAAAAAAAAAAAAAAAGTACACATATACTCTGTTGTGACAGGTTTTACAACTTTGCAATACCAAATTGTAGTCAGCTCTGCATTTCTTCTGGCCTTGTCATAATACCTTGTCTGTCTGTTTTTAAAAATTGAAAGCACTTACTGTTGAACATAACTTTGTGTTCCAGCTGCAGGGCAATTGGTGATCAACTTTTTTGCAGAATATATTTGGTATTTTGATTATGAAAGTAACTTCTTTCAACAGTAGTCTGTAACTGGTATTTCAGAAGAAAGTTTTTAAACCTTTGTAGATACGGGGGCATCCTACGTCTCTCAAGGTTTCATCCTAATTCCTATGGAACAATAGGGTTTGCTATCACAAGTAGTTTTCTGTTTTTTCAGGAATCTTTCTGCATAAATAATAGCCTATGAATATTGGCAAAGCTGGACCTTCTGAAGCTGCCATTCAATTTCACTTCGCATTTGTTCATGGAGCATTTGTGATGAGTGTTTGTGGAAGAAAGTGCTTACGGACTTAGATTTAGTGCAGAGGAATTAATGTTCTGACTTCGTTTCCAGGTTCCACGTATGGGCACTTTCATTGGTGTGTACCTGCCCTGCTTGCAAAACATCTTGGGAGTCATCCTTTTCCTACGTTTAACATGGATTGTGGGAACAGCTGGAGTTCTGGAGTCTTTCATCATTGTGTTCATGTGTTGTGCTTGTGTAAGTTAACATTTTTCTTTACTATTCGCTAAATCCTCTGTTACAAGAGTATTGCTGCTTTCTAATATAAGAGTAACAGAGAAGGATTTCTCCATAATGGTTATACATCAGCGCAGTTGAGAGACATGGAATATATTTATGCAGCGAGTGTCACATGTCATTCTAGCCTGCATGGAGTTTCTTTTAAGTTGATCACAGTAAGCTTTTGTTTGAAGTATTATATGGATTTTATTAAACTAGTTTTTATCAAGTATTTCATGACTGACTTTGAGATCTGAACTGTTCTGCTTCTCACAACTTCAGAACAAACTGAAATATAAGCTACAAATCAATCCATAGTATTATGTCCATAAATTAATACTTTGGAATGTGAGACCACTAGTAGATGATATTGTCATAACAATGACACTTGATCAGTTTGTCACTACTAGTTAATTGGAATAATGAACATCTTAAGATTATTCAGTGGTCTGTATTCTTCCAGTTCTTTTTAAAGATGGTCTCAAACGTCTAAATTAACTGAATCTTCTACTGAAAAATTTAGTACTTAATTTACATGGATATCTCTAAGCAAAGATATCATAATTTTTTGTTGCACTAACATCTTACTTTAAAAAAAAATATATTAAAAATTCCTGGTTTCATTTGATCACTCTGTCTTGCCCCACCTTTCAAAAAACTTTCAGCATTTTGAATTTCCTCTATTTTGTCTTTCCACAGACTATGCTAACTGCAATTTCAATGAGTGCAATAGCCACAAATGGTGTAGTTCCAGGTAATGAAGAATTTTATCTTAAATGGTGACTGGCCAAATGGTGGAAGTTTAAAGCTGGGATAAGAAATTACTGTAGTCTCAGATATCAGAAGTAATGCTTTTGTCATGTGCATATTTGCTTTTAACTGATTTATAAATGACTTTTTAAGGTAAGATGCAGTCTTTTAACTGGACCTTTGGGGATTTATGAATGTTAGCACATTTTTGTCATCAATCATTTGATTCTGTTTGAATGAAAGATAAGATGTTACAACTTGAACTAATGGAGACTTGTCTTCATGCAAAGCAGGTTTCTTTACAAATAAGACTGCTTTTTTAATGTATTTTTGTTGGTTTGTTACCTGAAGTTGGCTAGACTCCATTTCTAAATACTGGAGCTAGTTATGTTCTTTTCTGGAAGAATAACCACCAGTTTGCTTTTTCTATATAAGGACTTTAGGTTATGCTCATCTCCTTAAATTTTCAGAATAAATAGATGAACTTGTTCCTCTTCAATTATGAAGCTGATTTATTTTTGTAGATGCAAAATCAGTTAGCCTTTGAAACTCTTATCAATTAATGTGTTGAGAAACTGAAAAGGATAATACTGGTGTTCAGACATTATTATGAACTCTGAAGAGTTTGCCTAATGAAGTTAAAATAATTCCTCACTTGCAGCGCTTCTTCAGCTTAGTAAGAGGTTCCAGAACTGATGAATAAGTTGTTGGGCAAAAGTAAACACCACATTTGTGCAGGGTGTGGAATAATTGTATTTCATGGCTACAGTACCATATATGAAATGTAAATACAATAGAAAATTTTGTTTCAAATACTTTATAGTGAAATGTAATTATTCTAATTGGTGTTCAGATAACTAAAATGTTCTGCTCTTTGCCCCCTCATATTTTTAAAGTTCATTGTAAAGGTTTTGCTTAACATCTGAGTGTCACAGAAATCTTTGAAGTTGTCATTTCTTACACTAGACAGGCCTTCATTTTAACTTTTTTTTTGTTGGTGCCAGTTTCTTAGAGAAATGCTGCTTCTGCTGGAATGTATGGAGGAGGCAGGAAGCACAGATAGGAACCTAGGATTGAAAGAGACCTTCTGAGTAGCAGGATCTTGACTCTTGCTGTTATATGTAATGGCATTATATTGAGTAAAAGGATTGGTGATGCATCATAAATTTTTTGTTAGTTTCTCACTTGTTCATATTGAAAAGCAGCTTAAGATTCTGTCCTTTGAGTAGAAGTGTATTTCTTTATTTGCAGACTAATTTTATACAAGGCTGGTATATGTTTATTTAAAATAAATCACATCATTTCTCTGTCTCCTCTTTCTTCCTCAGTTGTCATGAGTGGGACAAACATCATGAATTTAAGAGAAGATGGAGAGGGAACCAGAGAGGAGCATGCCTTGAGGGGGTTGGAGGGAAGTCTAGATGATAAAGAGCTTGAAACTTAGAACCTTATTGAAAGGGAATTGGTATAGTGGAAATGGGAGAGGGGTAGCTTATGACTAAAGAAAGATGATGCCTGTATATCGGAAATATGAGTGAGAAGAATTGAAAAGTTCAGGGGAAAAGTGAGTAGTGTATGAGCAGACAAGAAAAAGCAATTACTACCTAATGATTTTAAATGGCAGTGAAAAAATGCCTGTAGTGCAAGTGGTCATGGTTTCATCTACAGAAAAAAAGAAGAATGCATACTAGTGAGACAAATTCTGTTTTGTCCCCATCTCATAAAGAAATTATTCTGGACGTTTATTTGTTTGTGAACAGCTTGAGGTTAGAAAATAAAGATTGATTCATATCTATTCATACCTATATATCCTTTTCTTAATTTACTTTTAGATTGTTTAGCTTGTGGATTTTTTCCTGTTTTTCCTTGGTGTTTGTTTTCTGTCCCACAGAAAATGCACATGGGGATATTCACTTTGTACATTCTAACTGCCTAGTTAGTATAGACATGGAATACAGTTTTGGTATGAATGTGTCAGTGGAGGTGCATGCAGTAGTTATCTTGATTACGTTGATTGATTGATTCAGATTTTTGTTCTCTACTGCTGTCCTTAATCTAAAGGCCTGGAGTCTTCTTTTTTCGTTAAATTCACAGCTGGAGGCTCTTACTACATGATTTCAAGATCTTTAGGACCAGAGTTTGGTGGAGCAGTGGGACTTTGTTTCTACTTGGGTACAACCTTTGCAGGAGCAATGTATATTCTTGGTACCATTGAAATTTTATTGGTAAGTACTAGTTTTTCTTAAGATTGAATGTATTTGAGCTGTTTTGGGAGACTGCTGAGGAATGCACTTGGCCTAAAATGCATTCTAATTTAGTGATTTTTTTAATATTTTGATACCATATTTCCAGTATGTCAATATTTAATCTTGTTCTACTTGTGACTGTGAAACAGTTAAAATTCTGATCAGCAATACAAAAATAAATTAAAGCTGTTTAATGTAAGCTTATTCTACTTAAAGTAGGAACCAAACAGAATTGGGTAACGGACACTGATTTTTACCAGGTGCAATATATCTGTCACCTTTTCATACCATGTTCTGAATACTAAATGTCCCATATATTATGCCTGTGCTACTGTAGGCCTGCTACCTACAGAGGTGTCAGGAAGACTATTAATTTTAGTAAGACATACCTGGAATTCCAAAACTAAAGGTATAGCACCAAGCTGGTGATGCAATATAAATAAGTATTTCAGTGGATTTTGTAGAAAAGAACATCAGACCAATGGGTAGACTTTGGAGACATGTTAAGATTTAATTCAGTGATTTTGTACCAACTTACAACTACAATTTTTGTGTAAAAGATGACTAAAAATATCACAGGAAATAGTGCAGTCCTTAGTGAAATGTCACATTAGATTGTCAACTATGATTTAATCTGCAATGCCTATTTTCAGGGTCTCTGAAATGTCATTTGGATTTAATGATGCTAAGTAAGTTGTTTTAGTTTTAAAAACATAATTTGTTTACAAATGTGAAGGATTTAATTTCTTCTTTAAATGTCTGCATATGTTCATGGTGCACCACAGTAACCTTACAAAAATTTGATCCATATATTATGCTGCTTTTGTGTTGTATGTCCTCTTCTCCTTTTCCAAACAAAAATGCACAGATGCATGTAGCACTTCCTTTAGGTCACCTTAGACTTGGAGTTGAAAAGCTAAATATTTCATCTTGAGAGTCAGTTTATCTTTTTTGCTTTGCAGTCTCCCTTTTCTCCAAGTCTGAATGAAGTCATACTGATTTTTCAAGTCTGAATGTTCATTTTTAGCATAGGACTAAGCTTTGTCACACTAATCTTGTGCTGTTGTAACTTCCAATTAAAAATTAAGGTAGACTCACAATGAAAAATCTTTCAAGGTACAATGTTTAAGGTATCTTTGGTTGAATTTTATGAAATACAATGCAGAGTCTATAGTACTGAAAACATTTTTAGGTTTTTACTATGCTCTGTTTTGACTCTTCCTATTTTGTTTCAATCAATGGAATTATTGGTCAGCAAAGGCTTCAAATTAATCTAAGTCTAGATCTGGTTTGAGCTAGCTTTGGTTTTGTTTTTTTCTTTTAATTTTTGTCAGTAGTCCTCTCTGCCATAGGTCCTTAGTAGTTTTTCCTGTCTGGCAGACATGAATTTGAGGAGTGGAAACTCTTAAAGGGGAGAGAAGCTGGATCAATAGTAGTACCTCATTCTCAAAACTCATTTTTCTTCATCCCTGCCTCCCCCTTCCTTTTACCTCTGTGCTTTTTAAATGCCTATGTCATCTTGTTGAACTGGTTTGTGAAAGAATAAAGCTGATATTGTAATAGAAGTTTAGATTTTTGAAGTTCAAGTAAAGGATTTCTTAATAAAGTATTTGTTATTAAATGTATGATGGTTTTCCATATCTCTTGCAGACCTACATTTCTCCAAGTGCTGCTATATTTAAGGCACAAGAGGTTGGTGAAGAAACAGAGGCTATGCTGAACAACATGAGAGTTTATGGAACGTGTATTATCATTCTGATGGCCATAGTAGTTTTTGTGGGAGTAAAGTATGTCAACAAACTTGCACTGGTCTTTCTTGCCTGTGTGATTCTTTCCATCATTGCCATATATGCTGGAGTTATTAAGACTGCTTTTGACCCGCCTGACTTTCCGTAAGTGCAGTATCTTTAAGTAGCATGGGTTATTGGGTGGGAAGGCATAGCTACTGTAACTGTTTCATGTTTTAAGCTAAACTTCAAAATACAAGCACATTGGCTTCAATGCCGGGCTTTATGTGTTTTAGGCAATTATGTGCTCATTTGTTATTCTGAATTACCTATCTGAATCTTTCTCTCATTCTTCATAAGACAAGATACTCTGAAATATGTTCTTTGGTACTTAGTTACTGGCCGTTATTCTATGCACATGTAAAGAACAGGAAGGTGGGTTTTGCTGTCAGTAAATGTAGCTGCTTTATCTAAAGAATTAAACTAAAACCCTATAGAATAAAGTAAAAACTTCAAGAAAAAGTTGTAGCTATGAACTGTAGTTATGAAAGAAACATAAGCTTTCTTTGTCATGAGGAAACTTTTGAAACTTCATTTCTCCCTATGTAAAATGGAAACATTGCAGTGTTAAATTCACTTGTTTGAAGGCTTTCTACTTTGATAATAAAATCAAATTTTATTGTTGTCACATACAGCGCATTGCTTCTCGGTACCTTTAGCTTGTACCTCTCTTAGCTCACTAAGAACTATTTCTTTTGTCCAGTTATCAGTATGTGAGCTGCATTTTTGTGCATCTTTTTCTGTTTGGAGAGAAAACAAAATTATACTGCTTAACATATTAGCAGAATAGCCTGGTAACTTTTATTATGAAGTGCCATCTGTTATGCAGGACTGAAGTTATTCTTTGCTGTATGATTTTTACAGATTGCATAGTACTTTGAAGTGTTCCTGGTTGCAGTAAGAGTTGAGCATTAAAGCAGTATTTGTGGACAGTACTGTAAAATGATAGTCTTCTATTGAAAAATTGTGTTCAAAATTGATTTTTTCTGAAGAAAACCTGAATTTCTTAGGAACTGTAAATTCTAGTAGGGAAATACTTAAATCTCTTAGTCACCAATATAGGTAAAAGAGGGTTTATCAGGATACGTAGCATAGGTAAGACTTATTACATAGTTCCTAAAAACCTTACCTGTGACTGCTACTGGGATATACTATTGTTTGGGGGAGGGAAAGTTACCTCCAATAAACATAATTGTTCACATTTTGGCCAATCTGCCTCAAAATGAAAAAGTCATGTGTGGTTTTATATTATGGTAAAGCTGATGGACATCTCAAATATTTATTTGCTAGAAAAGGGCATGACATACTTGCTTATGTTACTTTTGTGTTTTCTTGGTCAGGCTCATCATTATATTAAGTATTACTTCATTTCTTTTTATTCTTGTAGGACTGAAAGAATCATCATCTCTGTTATTTAGTGGCCAAGCTGCTTGAGTTGATTGTATTTTCCAAAGAATAAATCGGAAGGCAAAATGGCTATTAATACCTCAAAGTAGAAATGTTTGATCAGTGTTTTAAAGATTATTGAGGATAGTTTTATATGCAGAGAATATAAACTGTTTTAATAGATATAGTGTGGACCATAAGATAGGTATTATCAATAAGAGGTTTCTGAAGAACTCTAATGGACAAAAGATTGTTTAATGCACAACACTATATTAAGGATCACTGTTTTATTTTTGTTTATAGTATCTGTCTCCTTGGAAACCGTACATTGTCAAAACGCAACTTTGATGTCTGTGCCAAATTTACTGAAAGCAATAATGAAACAAAGACTACAGCTTTGTGGAGCCAGTTCTGTGATAGTCCTTTGCTTAATGCTACATGTGATAACTACTTTAGTCTCAATAATGTAACAGAAATTCAAGGGATTCCAGGAATAATGAGTGGAGTTCTAGCTGGTAAGTTGGAAAGCACAGTTATTTAAGAATTTTTTGAACATTTGTAATTTGGCCTGTAGGTTTTCAGTAATGTAGTGGTTTAGCCTGTCACTATTTCTTCAGCTCTAATCTGTTTGCTTGAAAGATTGCCACCTGGAGCATGTTTCCTCCTATAAAGTTTCCATCTGTTTTTTAAAATAATAGTATCAAATGCTTTAATTTAGGGGTCATTGGAGTTTTATAGGCACTCTTTCAAAAGCCATTGTTCTATCAGGGGAAAAAAAAGTAGCCAAGTGTTTATCACAGCTAATTTTTAAAGTGTTTAGCTGTTTTGTATGCCAAATACACTTATTTCAGTAAGCTGTTCATTAATACGTTCTCAAACTCTCCTGAGGGAGAACTTGTTTCCAATTTATAGGTGGTGCATTAAGGAATGAAGTCCTGTGGCTTGTCCGATGTGATAGCAGTATGTTAGTGATGGGTTTGGAGAAAAGCAGTCTTTCTAGCTTCCTGTCTCTCGTTCGTACAGGAGATGTTCTACAAAGTTTATAGATTTTTTTTTTTTCTGGTTACATTCCTGTATGGTTGTGGCACCTTGGGATTCCAATTGCACTGGGTCATAAGATTCATTGTGAACTTGTAATGGATTGTATTGTATACAAAGAACGAATGTTTCTGGGGATGAAATGGATGTCCTGATATCTCTCCCCTGCTTTCCCTTAAAACGTTTGATTTATATAAACATGCAACTCTACATAGGGACACTAGGCAATCACTACTGATTATACTACTGTATTATACTGATTACATAGTAATTCAGTTTACAATATTAAATATAAAGTGTACGAATACATAAAAAGATATTAAGGCTTCTCTGAATATAATTTGTATGTTTAGAAAAAATGACTCCATTTCCTCAATGAAAAATGAAATTATTTTTTGATTGAAATGTTTGTTAGAAGAAGTGTTACTTAAGGTTTGTTCTGTGCATTTTATAATTTAGCACATTTATATCTACAATTTTTCCTGAATATTTTTACATTTCCTATTCCAGCTCAGAAGACCACTGTATGTTCTAATTTTTTTGCTACAGCGTGAGCATTAAACTGCTGTTTTCCTTTTGGAGGTTTTAGGTTGAATACTAATTTTTCTTCTTTTGGAAAAATGTGCTTGGCTTCTGTTCACTGATTAACATTTTCTTTGAACTAGTGCTACTGTATAAAAGTGCATTTCACCATTCTACTGTCACAAAATACTAAGATCTCTCTAACAACCATTGAGAGTCTGCTGAAAGCTCAGTGTGATGTATAGACCTTCCAGTGTTCATTGCTTGATGCTTACCTACAGTGAACTTCAACAGTTGTGTTCTGTTCAGTCACTGAGTTTGATGGTTTTTCTCTAGTTCTTTGCAGTTGGCTTTGCTTCTGCAACTTCGAGTAGCTGAGTATTATCAGTAAGCTTTCTCATCTTGCTGCTAGCTCCTTTTTCCAGACTGCTTGAGTGTACTGGAAAGCACTGGTTACATCCTGCTATTGATCCTTGTGGAAGCTTACTAATGGCTTTCCCGCGTTATAAAACTGTATTTACATTTACTCTTATCTGTTGTTTTCTACCTTTGAAACATTTTTTTTATCCATGTGAGGAGTTTTCCACTTACTGCATGGCTACTATAGTTTCCTTGGGTAAGGAATCTTTCAAAAATGTGGGAAGTAAAGGTGCACTGAATTAAGTGGATCGCCTTCATTTGTTTCCCTTGAGGAACTGGAATACTTCTGACAACTTTCTTTTTACAGCAGCTATGCTGACGCTTCCCCAATTCTTCAAAACCCAAGAAAAAACTGTGAATAGATGCTGGTTTTGTCATAACTCAAAGATAACACCCATGTGTTTATTGCTTCTATCCATTGCTGTTGTTGCTATCAACTGTTCATGTACAGATGCTACTTGTGAGCCTTTTCCTGATCTCTCTGAAACTCTCTTAAAGTTGGCCTTATTTGTCATGTTTCAATCCTTGGGTAGCAATGTGATTTAAGGTAAACTCATAGTTAGCACCTCAGATCTTTCAGTATTCTTGGAGGTTTCAGGCCGAGTACTAATTTTTTCTACTCTTGGAAAAATGTTCTCTGGTTCTGTTCAGTGATTAACATTTCTTTCAACTAGCACTACTGTGTAAAAGCGCATTTCACTATCCTAGTATCACATAGTGCTAAGACTAAATTAAGCACCTGCTTGTGAATGTGAGCACACATTCTGATACCTCATGTAAGCTTGAATTTGACTGGCAAAGATTTCTCAAGGAGGATTTTTCTTAACTCTTAAAGTCCCCGTGGATTATCACTTTTGGGAAAATGAGCATAGGAAATTAGTGCCACGCAGAGCTTTGTTACATCTTATGAAAGGGGAAAGTGATTTCTATTTTACAAAAATCTCTAAGATGACTTTACCCACTCGTGCTGGCATGCACACTTCCATAATTAGTGGTATGCATTGCCACTTCTGTGTCATACTGCGTAAAGAACACAGGCTGTTGAGTCCTCATTAAGTATTTAGTGTTTCTGGTTGGCAATGACAAACTGATTTTTGGACTTTCTTTTTATGCTCCATAGGTGGGTGCTAATTTGGAGATCTTGTTTTATGTCATTCCTCAAATCTTTGCTAAAATTCCTGAAACTTAGAGTTCTCTTGTTTCCTTAACTCTTCTTTTTATGGCTTTGGTCTTATCTCTAGATCAGTTTATTATTCCTCTTCATTTGAATGAACTAACACATAACATTCTGTAGCAATTAATACTTACTTTCCTTTTTAATCTTTGTTCTGCTCTCTTATGTTTCTTATGCATGCTTCCTTATATGCTTACCAATTGTAGGATTTCTGTTTCAAATCTGGATAGGAGTACCCTATCTTTGGCCACTTATGGAGATTCAGAGTCAATCTATTGTACTCAAGGTAACCTTTTGTTATTGTGAAGGCTTAGAATACTGTACTTAATTCCCTTAAGTTTTACTGAATGGTTGAAAATTGACTATCAGATCCATCATCCTGGCAGTCCATGGGAATTGTTTTTCTGTGGTGTAAAATCCTTTGGCTCTTTGACAGGGTGGGAGAGTGGGATCTACTTTGTTTCTTCGCATGTGATGGGACAACTTGTCTCGCTTTAAAATAAGAATCAATGTTGGATGTTCTTGTTGCCTTGTGAAGGGGCACAACTAGTGTTTCCACAAATGTAAGCTCTCAAAAGCTATGGGTTCTTTGACCTGTCAATCTTCGTTGAACAAGCATCCTTAGTTTGTTGGGGAATTTGAGCCACATTCTGCTGGTTTTTGCTTGTTTCATTTTCTTTTTTTTTTTTTTGGCTTATCAGTTCTCTTCTGGAGTCTGGTTACTCTGCTTTTCTCACCATCTGGAGTAACTTCACCACAAAGAGCTGAGCCCTGAACTGTTTTCCAGGGTTATCCTGTACATCAGGTCTCAAATAACTCAAGTTATTTGCTAAGTATCATTTCTTTTTTTGACCTGCTTTTCAAAATGTAAGAACAAGAAATATGAATATATGCTAAGATTGCCTGAACCCAGAGATAATATTTTCCTCATTTTTTCACAGTACATCCTGATAATATGTTCATATGTCTGTGCAATGTAACTGGACATTCTACAAATATATTATAATTTAATTCTGTAACTAAATCTTTCTTTAATAGATAAAAAAATCTTGTCTGACGCATCCCATACACTACTGCATTTCTACTGACATATAATAGGAATGTCTACCAGTTACAATTGGTATTGATCGTATTGCTGCTGCATTCTTGGCTTTAAAAGGAAATGTTGGCAAACGTCACTATTTTTGTGTAACAAGAGCTATCTGAATCATAAGATTATTGCCTTCTCATTACTTAATATCCTGAAATAGAGAGATCACATTGGATATTGTTTCTTCCCCCTTCTAGATAATCTGTGGAGTACCTATTCAGAAAAAGGATCAATAGTTGAGAAAAAAGATCAGCCATCAGTTGCTGGATCAGAAGAGACAAAAATGGGTGGACTTCCTTACGTTTTTACAGACATCATGACTTACTTCACAATGCTTGTAGGGATTTATTTCCCATCTGTGACAGGTAGATACAACTTTTTTTTTGTCTTGAGTGAGGAAATGTACCTATAGCTGAAAAATTATTTTTTCGTGTGTGTGAATGTTTATTGATGACACATGATATTGCTGGTATGTGTATCCAAATTCTATGTACCTAAAATTTTCTAGCTAGAGAGACATAGCTGGTGGCTGGTTATTTTAGGGGCTTAAGGGACTTAAGCAAGGAGTCAGTTTAAGTGCTATTTTCTATGTCTGGAAAGAAAACAAAAGCTCCGTGTGTTACTAAATGCTTATTTAAAGTAAGATGCATACCTTTATAATATTTTAATCTTCAAATGCATGAGAGAACAGTTGAGTATTAAGATGATTGTTTCCAGTATTCAAGCTATGAACCACTTGTAATTTGTTTAAATGTCCTTTTTTTTTTTTTTTAACTGACTAGTAGAGACTACTTTTGTCAAGTTTAAAGGTTAGATTAGTTGCATACAACTTTTCTCAGGTCACATTTGACTGAAATAACCTGAGACATTTTTTTCCAAAGGTCCCAGCTCCAGCAATTGTAGTATCAAGTAACAAAGCAGAACTCTGGTATGAGATGGCAGCAGTGTTTGCCAGTAGAATACCAGGCGGTGGTGTCCATTCATATTCTTGTCCCCCACCGTTCCCATTTCTCTACTTCAGGCTCTTTTATCACCGTCTCATCATATCTGAGTCTGTTGTTAGGATTTCATTGCATGGAGTTTCACAATGCTTTTGCACTGGAATGTCTTGACATTAACTTCCATGTTTTTGTTTCCAACAGTGGTCAGGGCAATTCTGGGAGAGGTGGCAGAATTAGTTATTGTATGATTTTTTTTTTTTCCCCTCCCCCCTCTCCTGTCACAGTTATGTGCTAGAAAATATTTTTGTTCTCTTGGATACAAACAAGGATGTGTATGTGTGATTTCCTAACCATTCTCCTTGTACTCTCTGCCTGCTCCTTTCTTTTTTATTTCTGTATTTTTATTATTTTGTTTATTGATTTGCTTGTGTATCTTATTACGGATGGTCTGTTTAGCAGAAAGTTAATGCATTTGGTCACGCTGGCTAAAATTGCTAAATCCTCATTAGTTTATAACATCCACCCCCAACTTTTTGCTACTCCTGTGTGTTTCCCCATTTTAAAAACAATTTTGAAGCTATATTTGAAAAAGCAATTTTTTAAAAAAAATCTCTTTCCTGAGCTTTCTGGAATTTGTTCAGTCAACAATGGTTGGTAACACACATTTCTGAGTAAAATTAAGGTATAAATTGAGGATTTGTGCAGGATTAGAAGACACGTCTGTAGCCTGCTCCATTGATAATGATGTGTTAAATCAGCCTTAAAGTTAAATGTTCCTATTCTCTTAGTTATTTACATGGAATTAGTATTAATTGGTTTTGACATATAAATTTGATCTTTTTTTAAGGTATTATGGCAGGCTCAAACAGATCTGGAGATCTTAAGGATGCTCAGAAATCTATTCCTACTGGAACAATTTTGGCTATTTCAACTACGTCTTTTATTTGTATCCTTTATGCTGTGACTTTTTTTTCCTAGTGCGCATTCTTTAGGTATAACAGTATAGTTTTTTAATGAAGAAGTCATTAGAGTTGCCTGAGTATAAAATGAATGAAACCTAACCTGAAAAGAACTATTTTCTATTAGTCTAAAATATAAATATTGTCTAAAATATCTCAAACTTTGTGTACATTAATATTTATATATATACGCTATATTCTACTAGTGCTTCAGATTCCAAGATATAATTGATGTTTTTAGTTAAATGATGTAGAGGTTTTTAGCATCATGCTTCAGTTGGCAGATTGCTTTCTTATACTTGGTATAACCAGTGAAAATCTGAAAGCAAACCACCAGCAATAGGAATTGTTAGTCCTTTGATACTCGTTAAGACACAAATGCTGATTTGTATGAGAAAGTGCCTGTTCTGTTGCATGATGGATGACCTGGCTACTTTCAGTACCTCAGAAATCAACTGTGCATCAAATGCAGTCATAGAGAACATGAACTAGAAAGTTGTACCAGGGAATAATTAAAAAAACAAAAACAAACATACAAAAAAAAACCCCAACAGAACAAATAAAACAACAACCAAAAAAACCCACTTCGTTATCATGGACACTTTTCATTTCATCCCTAAGTGAAATATGGTGTTTTTCTCTCTCTGTATATCACTATTTATAGTGCAATCTTCCTTCAGTCTCAGTAATAGATCTCTCCTGTATAGTGTTGTTTGGTGCCTGTATAGAAGGTGTGATATTAAGAGATAAGTAAGTCGTGTTCAACTTCTAATTTTTACAGGGAGTGTGTATGATCATGGGTTAATTTAATAGGACTTACTAATGGCTCTTCTGGGAAAGATCTGTGATATGTTTTTCTTCTGCCTAGGTTAGAACTGGAGGAAAAGTCTTATCTGTTAAACTGAGATGGCTGCAAAAACTGGTCAGGGTATTAGTCTGTATCCCTTCAAGAAGTAGAAGTAGAATCAAAGATAAATGTTTGCAGTGGAACTATTCCTAATAAAATGTTCTTGAGGAAGAAAATCATAGTATTTGTGGAGCTGATGGGTGGGGGTAATGGGAGTGGTATAATAATATAATATATAGTAATAATTACAATAATATATAGTAATAATTATATATATAAAATATATATATATAATTGGAAGAAGCAATATGGTCCTGAGGAACAAAGACAGAAAAAGATTTTTGTAGTTACATGACAAAGAGAATTCATGAGAGACTGCAATGCACCATCAGGCCTATAATTTCCACTGGATGTATGACTATCTTTTGTTTTAAAATGTCAGTTGTAGAACAGGAGTCGTGTCAGTTTTCACCCATGTAATTGCCTGGGGATACTTCAGGCACAATATGAAGTATGAAGGAACTAAACATAATGGAGATAAGCGTGAGCAGAATCTCCAGATTTTGATAAATTTCTCCCATAGGAGAAGTTGAGTTGACTAAGATGAATCTATTGGCAGGGTTTACATTTGTTTCCTTGATGGTGTCTGGGTCTCTTTTCTACGTTTCACATTTGTTTCCTTGATGGTGTCTGGTTCTCTTTTCTACGAAGGCCCAAGTCTGGTTTTGGTGATGAAGCAGTGGCATTGTGATATTGTTTGGAAGGTGATGGAGGTGATGCTGAAACAACTTATTTCAGAACACAGTCTTTCAGTCTAGAAGGAAAACTATAAGTTAAAAGCTGGATTCTAATCAAAGCTAATACAAGAAGCAGTAGGGGATCATTTTTACTTTAAAATGGTATTGCTGCCTCAGTGAAAATCTCAGATTTCTTCTTCTTCAAAGTAAATATGCACACCAAATCAAGCTGATGCTTAAGAAATAGTAGATTAATTCTGAATTATAAGTTAATGCAGATTTTTGAAAGTAACATAGCTGAAATTTACTGGGGGCGGGAATTTTGCAAGCTGTGGGTGCAGGTGATCTGTCACTAGAGCAGGATGCATCGTAGCAAGAGCATTGAATCCATGTTCTTTCACTTACACTGCTGCCAGTTCTTGTTTGGCTGAAATCCAGCGTAACAGTAAACTCTATGGATTTTGGTCTTGTTTAAAGACTTTGTTTTGTGCTTTCTTTCCATTATGGATTATCATACCTGCCATGGGGAAAAGTAGATTCTACATCTTTCAGCGTTTGTCTTTCATCTTTTAAAGTTGTTCCTATCCCGTATTTAATTAAAACACAGGCATTGGAATTTGAATGTAAAATGAATGTGCACCTGTATAAATGTTGTCATAGAAGCATAATATGGTTTTCTCCTATAATTTTAAAGAGTGTGGTTTCCCCTTTTTCCATCTGCTGAAAATAATATGTAGCCATGCATATAAGCTTGGGCATTGTGCAAGAATTTGAACACTGGCTTAATATAATAACTTGATTACTATGTTTCTTTACCTTGTTTGAGAGCAGGTCTGAAAAGAGATGAAGCATTTAATTTTTTTTTTTTTTTTAGTCTCTAGCCTTGTCTTTTCTCTAGTGTTTCTTTTGAAAAACCTAAAAACCTTTAAAAAAAAATTATGCTACCACAATGTAGATAGTCTTAAAATTTATTTTGGCTGCTTAATAGCAAAACTAAGATGAATTTACTTGCTTTTAAAAGAAAAACATCACTTTGGGGAGGCAGGGGTTAAAGAACCTTTTTGTAGTTTACCCAAGATGTTCATAAATGAACATAAAGTTAATTATCAAAAAAAAAAAGCAGTGGTATTGGATGGGACACTCAAGACTGTAGTGAAAGCATCTCTTTGTGACTTCCACCTGCTTGTTTGCTATGGTTATTTAAAAAATGGATCAGGTAGCATGACAGTCAGAAGGCATGTGGGTAACTTGAGGTGGTTGTGTCTAGTGGTTTCTCTATTTACTTGTCTATATGTTGATGTCACACTATTAAAAGCAAAGGCTAATACTTTGTTTTCTGAATCTTCTGCTTATGATAGAATAGTTCTGGTTGGAAGGGACCTTTAATGGTCATCTAGTCCAACCACCCTGCAGTGAACAGGGACATCTTCAACTAGATCAGGTTTCTCGGAGCCCCCTCCAACCTGACCTTGAGTGTTTCCAGGCATGGGGCTTCTACCACGTCTCTGGGCAACATATTCCACTGTTTCACCACCCTCATAAAAAAGGTTTCTTGGAGCCCCCTCCAACCTGACCTTGAGTGTTTCCAGGCATGGGGCTTCTACCACGTCTCTGGGCAACATATTCCACTGTTTCACCACCCTCATAAAAAAAAAAAAAAAATCTTCCTTATATCTAGTCTAAATCTGCCCTCTTTTAGTTTAAAACCATTACCCCTTGTCCTATCGCAACAGACCCTGCTAAAAAGTCTGTCCCCATCTTTCTTATAGGTCCCCTTTAAGTACTGGAAGGCTGCGACAGGGTCTCCCTGGAGCATTCTCCAGGCTGAACAACCCCAACCCTGTCCTCGTAGGAAGGGTGTTCCATCCCTCTGATCATTTTTGTGGCCTTCCTCTGGACCCTCTCCAACAAGTCTTTCCAGTGCTGAGGGCCCCAGAATTGGATGCAGGACTCCAGGAGGAGTCTCACCAGGGTGGAGTAGAGGGGCAGAATCACCTCCCTCGACCTGCTGGCCACGCTGCTTTGGATGCAGCCCAGGATATGGTTGGCCGCCTGGGCTGCGAGCACACATTGCCAGCTCATGTCCAACTTTTCATCCACCGGTACCCCCAAGTCCTTCTTGGCAGGGCTGCTTTCAAGCCCTTCATCCCACAGCCTATATTGATACCAGGGGTTGCCCCGACCCAGGTGCAGGACCCTATACTTGGCCTTGTTGAACCTCATGAGGTTTGCTTGGGCCCAGTTCTCAAGTTTGTCCAGGTCCCTCTGGATGGCATCCTGTCCCTCAAGCATGTCAACAGCACCACTCAGCTTGGTGTCATCTGAAAACTTGCTGAAGGTGCACTCGATCCCATTGTCTATGTCATTGATGAAGTTACTAAACAGTACTGGTCCCAGTATATGGAGACCCCTGAGGGACACCACTCATCACTGATTTCCATCTGGACATTGAACCATTGACCACCACCCTCTGGATGTGAGAATCCAGACAATTTCATATCTACCCAACAGTCTACCCATCAAATCCATACCTCTCCAATTTAGAGAAGGATGTTAAGGGGGACTATGTCAAAGGCCTGACAGAAGTCCAAATAGATGACATCTGATGCTCTTCCCTTGTCCCATTATGTAGTCATTCCATCACAGAAGGTGCCTATGTAGGTTAGGCAAGACTTGCCCTTGGTGAAGCCATGCTGGCTGTTTTGAATCACCTCCCTGTGCCTTACCGTAGCTTCTAGGAGGACCTGGTCCATGATCTTCCCAGGCACAGAGGTGAGGCTGACAGGTTGGTAGTTCCCAGTTCTCTTTGCTACCCTTTTTAAAAATGGGTGCAATGATTCTCTTTTTCCAGTCCCCGGGGACTTCACCTGACTGCCATGACTTTTCCAATCTTGTGGAGAGTGGCTTGGCAACTACATCAGCCAATTCCTTCAGGACTCTGGGATGCATCTCATCAGGTCCCATAGACTTGTGTATGTTCAGGTTCTTCAGGTGGGAGGTTGTCCTCTTACATGGGAGGCACTTTGCTCCTCCAGTCCCTGTCTTGTAGTTCATCCCCTCAAGAGGTGTGGAAAGAGACACTGCTATTGAAGGCTGAGGCAAAGATGTCATTGAGTACCTCAGCATTATCCTTGTCAGTTGTTACCAGTCTGCCAGTCTTGCTCATCAGCAAGCGTATGCTTTCTTTGACTTTCCTTTTCTAGCAGACATAGCTATAGAAGCCCTTCTTGTTATTCTTTGCATCCCTTGCCAACTTCAGCTCCAGCCATGCCTTGGCCCTCGTGACCTCATCCCAACACAACCAGGCAGTGTCCCTGTACCCTTCCCAGGATACCTGTCCCTGCTACCACTGCCTGTGCATTTCCTTCTTGACCTTTAGTTTGACAAGCAGGTCTCCCCTCAGCCATGCTGGTCTCTTGCCTTCCTGTCCTGATTTCTTACACGGGGGATTGAGAGCTCTTGTGTTCTATGCAAAGCATCCTTAAAGTTCTGCCAGCTCTGTTCTGCTCCCTTTGTCCCTGAGGGCAATTTCCCAGGGGGTCGTATTGACTAACTGCTTGAAGAGCTGGAATTTTGCTTTCCTAAAATTCAGGGTCCTGACTTTACTCTTCTTCTTTCCCATATCCCTCAGGATTGTTAACTCCACCAGAGCATGATCACTGCAGCACAGGCTGCCTCCAGTCTTGACATCACCAGTTAGCTCACTTGCCTTGGTGGCCACCAGGTCCAGTACGACATCCCTTTTGGTTAGGCTGCCTATTACCTGGCATAGGAAGTTTATCCTCCATGCACTCCAGGAGTCTTGTGGATTGCCTACAGCTCACTGCACTACTTTTCTTGCAGATGTCAGTGTGGGTGAAGTCCCGCAGCAGGACGAGAGCCTGTGAGCTCAATGCCTTCTGTAGCTGGAGTGAGAAGGCTTCGTCAATAGATTCGCCTTGGTTGGGCAGCCTGTAGTAGACACCAACCACAATGTTCCCTTTGTTGCCTCTGTCCCTGATTCTTACCCGTAAGCTTTTGACCTGCTCATGGCTATTCCTCAGAGACAGCTCTTTGCACTCTATGCGTTTCTTGATGACGTAGAGAGCAACACCTCTGCCTCTCCTTCCTCCCTAGTCCCTTCTGAATAGCCTGTAGGCTTAAATAGTCTCACTCCAATCATGGCATTTGTCTGAACAAGTTTCAGTAACAGCATCCAGGCTGTAGCTTTCTAGCAGTGTGGTGTCTTCCAACTCCTCCCGATTGTTGCCCATGCCATATGCATTTGTGTAAAGTCTTTTCAGCTGGGCTGTTAGCCATATCATCCCCCTGTGCCTCAGGGTGTACCTGTATTACTTGTAGAACGGAATTCTGCAGTCTATCTCCTGGCAATCATAAGGATATAAAGGATGCATATGTAAATACTTCTGCTTTTGCTGTTAATTCTGTAAAGTTTTCCAAAATACCTGATAATTGTTACATCTTTGCTTTGAGGCAGCATGAATCAATTACATGTTTTCTTTAAAACAGCAGAATAAAGAGAAATTGGTTGGTTGGGAAATCCTATAGTGCATACTGGGACTTGGTGTTTATTGTTGAAAAGTGCTGTTGTGCAAAAAGATTGAAATGTGGGTGTTGAAGCTATAGTAACAGTTATTTTAATTATTACTGTTTTTTTTTTCTTTTTTTTTCCCTTCCCCTAAGGTTTGGAGAAGCAGTTAATAGAAATCTAGTGGTTGGTACACTGGCCTGGCCTTCTCCATGGGTTATTGTGATTGGTTCATTCTTTTCCACATGTGGTGCTGGTCTCCAGAGTCTCACTGGTGCACCCCGTCTGTTGCAGGCCATTGCAAGAGATGGCATTGTACCGTTTATTCAAGTGAGCATTTTTTTTTCTTCAAATATGGCTTATTTGGGAAAAACGAGGCATTATTTCTGCTCTTGCTATAGAACTGTGAGGAAAAGATTTGGAGCTCAGTTCTAATTGTGTACAATAATAAATCGAGCCATTGTAGGATAAAGTTTGAACATGGATATTTCTGTGCAATGCAGTTTTATGTGTAAGAACAAAAATAATTGAAGTTAATGGTTTAAAATTGAGAATATAAGTCTTCTGTAAATGGTAGTAAATGAACTAAGAAGCAACTAACAACTGAACTTCTTGACTCCAGGCTATGTTTACAAGTTCTATTATTGAACAGAGTTGACAACCTCACTGTGGAACTGCATGATAACTTCTCATATCATAGAGATACAACTCTAATTTTTCTTCATTTTTGTAAGCTAAATGAAGTCAACAAAGATGTAACAATAGAATTATGTGCTGTGATTTTGAACATGAAGATTGTTCTGATATCCTTGTGCATGTTTTAGAAAGAAATTGGATTTTTCTCAAAGGAATTGAGTAAAGGAGCTGGCAAACAGAAGAAGATAAGAGAAATCGTGCTGGAAGATAATTATCACAATTGCTGGGATGCATCTGCAAAAACTAGACAACTAGACTTGAGTTAAAAATGAATAAATAAAATTCCAAAAGATAATGTCTAGAGAGCAAACCTGTAATTTCTGTGGTGAAGTTTGGAGTTTGAAAGCTTATCTCAAATTGCCAAGAATAGCCAATAGTTGCACAGCACAAATGATAACCTACCAAGAACAGGTTCAAGTATAAAAAACAGGATTATGTCTGAGTAACTATAAATACTTTGGGAGCAGAGTTAGGGGACAGGTGTCAAATTTGGCACACAGAAAGAAATTGCAGATAACATAGACACTGAAGGTAGCTAGTGCTGAATTTAGGAGAATAGGCTGTTCTGTATGGAGAGAGACCTGAGGATGATTTGGAGCACTTGTTTGTTTTTATATGTCTCTTTGGGAGGTTTACATATCATTATTTTGATACCCAAGTTATGTGATCAAACTTGTGTTTGAGTATTCCTTACTTTACCCACACTTACCTCTGGAGTCCTGATCAGATGTGTGCTCTAGGTTACTGTCTCACGTCTGAGGTTGGTTTAGTATGTTATTTTAAACATGGATTATTGCTCTTGGTGAATAACTTAATAGTCTATTCAGAGACATCTATATGTTCAGTGAGGACTAGGTATAGAATAGCAGCAGCAGCTTGCTTTGGTTCATGAGTTCGGGGGAACGGTACGATGAGTCAACACATTGATGTGTGACTTGAGGAAAAAATTCTTCAGCTAGGATGTGCTTAGGACTGTTACAAATGATGGGTTAGCAGGAGAATTTGAGTGGGCTTGGCAGGGGGTGGGGGACATCTGAGGAGGGAGACATGCAGAACGTGTGTGAATGGGAAAAGGAGAGGGAAGGACTTGTGTGAAGAGGGGGAAGGAGTGCACAGGGAGTGGGTTAGAGGAGATGGTTGGAAAAGCTGAGAAGCAAAGCAAAATGGAAGAGGTAATGCTAGTGGCTTTGGGGGGGTGGATTGTCTTTTGTGTGCTGTGGGTTTTTTGTTTGGTTTGGGTTTGTTGGGTTTTTTTTAAAGGCAGATCATACTGCTGTTGCCAACTCTTTTCTCAGTCTTTAATCACTTGGTTCTGTTCCACTGCTGCTGCTTCCCTGGTCTGTCTGTTAGTGCCTCGTCTCAGTAGGGCTGTATCCTTAATATTTTCTATTAGGTCCTTTCCTTCTCTTGGGCTGGAGGGGAGAATCATTACTGGAAATGTATACTAGTATTTGCTGCTGAGAGTAGGAGCCAGAAGAGGTAATGAATCAAGAAGTAACCAAGTTAAAAAGACGGCAGCCCCTGCTGCCTTAATGTTCGTCCAGCAGCACTTGTAGCAGTGCTACTGCCAGCAGGAAATTCAGCTGCTCTGTCTCTGATTCTGCTGGCTTGAGCTGCTTTGCACCTGCAGTATTGGCAACTTGTTCATTGAGAAAGCTATGTCACCATTCCCTTGGTTCAGGAGCGTCTTTTTGTACCGGAGGTGGAGGAAGGTGATGAGAACATACAAGAATATCAGACATGCTTGTGCTTTATTTCACAGTTGAGAGCTGTGGCATGTTCCATGATTTGCAAGACCTGTATCTGTAACTGGAAGTGAATATACTGAGCATGCTGGGGTAGAGGGGACAGAATCACGACAGAGTTTGACTTGAGTGGGAAGGTGTTGTAATAGGATAATTATAAATGCTGGGTTGTATTGAGAGAGACAAATTGAAAATTTTCACTTTTGTCTGAAGTGAAAATTTGGTACTTGGTGAGAGAGTGACAGCATGATTCTGACTTACTAGGGTTAGATTTCAAAGGAGTGAAGAGTCGGAGGGAAAAAGCTTATGTGGTTTGGGAAGTGAGGGAAAGGGAATCTAGGAGAGGCAGGATGTTTGAAGAGGGATTTCAGACTTGAAAAGTGCTTGCATTTTTGGAGTGATATAGCTGCGGCATGGACAAGCAAGGAAACGAATGCAAGGAGATTATTATAGGGGCAAGAGTATGATATATTTAAGAAAAAAACAGAAGCCTTGAAATGTGAGCAGAAAAAATGGCATTCTAATGGAAAGAAGATTGATGAATGACAGGAAGTGAAGGGAAAAAGACAGCATGGAGAATGGGTGAGGTGAAGAACCTAGACATTTGGAAAGGAAGCCATTAAGGAAAATATGAGTGAGTCTTTAGAATTATATGGAGGAGAATAAATATGGCTGGAAATTCAGGTGAGGCATTTTGCCATTATCACCAGTATAGCTGGATAGAATTCTCCCCAAAGGAAATTCACATGCAAAATGATTTTTGGTAGGGCTGTGTTCATGATCATAGGCTTACCTAAATCCTGTTTAAAGATCAATATTTATGTTTGTAAGTACTAAGTTGATGCCTATTCTGTGTGTTAAAAAAATACTGCCCTCAATTATATTAGCTTTTTATAGACTCAGCATAAATCTCTGATGCGTTTCAACTGCAATAGTACTTTAATGTTTTGTAGTTAGTGCTTATTTTGGTAAACGTTTTTCATATTGGAAATGCGTGTTTTTGCAATTTAGTTTGTGGCTTTTTGTGGTATAGGTTGCTTCATTTTCCTTCGTAAGAAATTACATTTTATGGTTCCAGTTAAAGTTAGTTTGCAATCTACGCTGCATTTTGTAACTGTATAATGAACAGCTGTCCCTAATCTTACTGTTTACTTGAACTGAACTAGGTATTTGGTCATGGAAAAGCAAACGGAGAACCAACTTGGGCTCTGCTCCTCACTGCTGGTATTTGTGAAATAGGAATTTTGATAGCCTCATTGGACAGCGTAGCACCTATTCTTTCAATGTAAGTATGAACAAAATGTGGTGTCCTGTGTTCTTAAGTTAAATAGTATTTTTCTTTTTAAATTAACTAGGTAATGATTTTTCTTTTTTAAATAATACATGCTATAATTTGTCTTCTAGCAAGTTATATTCCTATTTGATCCCAGAGATAATATGAAACAACAAAATGTTTTGGCTGGAACTAATTTCTAGGCATGAAAAACATTTTCAGTAACAGAGTTCTTAAATGCTAGTAAAAATACGTTCAAGTTTTTTGTTTTTTAAATCCAGGTTTTTAAAAACTCCTGCTATTTTAGCTCAAGTGCATCTAATAGACAGACAAAACAATTTAATGTTTTAGGGTGTGAACTGAGCTCTTACTACTGAGTATAATGTCATACAGTATTGAATATCCCTTTGGTCAGCTGAAAAACAGAAAAGGCCTTGATGCTGTGTAAGCACTGCTCAGCGACACCTAAAACATCCCTGTGTTATCAACACTGGTTACAAATCCAGAACATAACACCATATGAGCTACTATGAAGAAAATTAACTCTATCCCGGCCAAAACCAGTACACTATGATTGCCAGTTGTTTGCTACGTTTTCTCTGAAATCTTTGTTTGAGGCTCTATATTATGCTAATACCATGTTTTGAGGTCTAATATTCTACAAGTGTTAATTTAATCTGTTTTATGTTCTATTTGCCACTGTGAACACAGTGTACAAGTTCCTATGCTTTTTTTGGATTGTGTTCAGCCTTTTAATGCAAGTCTATCTAATTAATTTCCGATTGGAAAATTTTTTTTTTTTCTCAACAGGTTTTTCCTTATGTGCTATATGTTTGTAAACTTGGCTTGTGCAGTTCAAACACTTTTACGGACTCCCAACTGGAGACCTCGTTTCAAGTATTACCATTGGTAGGGTATATTCCTTCATTCAGAAGAGTTAAACCTAATAATTATGCAGCCCTAAATTGTTGACTTTTGTTGTTGATTTGCAATAATGAAACAAAATCTCCTTTCTGATTTAAATGAGTTATAAGATTATTCATGCACTGAATAACAGCAACATTTGTTTTAATATGTTTGGAATAGAGCTAGTAATAGCTGTGATCACAAAAAATGTGGCTAATGGTAGAGGGCTTGTGAAGGGATATGGGATGACATTTAATAGTGCTTATTTCTAAGAGATCTTCTGAATATGTAAGAATTAAGATTAAAAAATATAATCTGTCTTTATATATAGATAAGGCGAACTGGTAAAAATGTTCAAGAAGGTTGATATGATTTTCATTTTAGTTATGCAAAAAAAAATACAATCCCAAAACTTGTATGGAAAAAAACCTCTTTTAATATGTATCAGTGGGTTTTTTACCAATATGATCGCGGTTCTTATATGTCATGCTTTGGACACTGCATTTGATAACTGAAGTAGACCATTGGATACTTGACAAAGAAAGTAAAAGTAATTATACTGCTTGCTTTTAGGTGCTTTACAATTGCCTTTTCCCTCACCAGTAGGATTGAGAACACCAGCTGGGCACCCCCATGCCCTTGACTACTGCCCTCACCACCCCTGCCCCAAGCTCTGTAATCCCTTTTGATACTGTCCACTTTCCCCCCAGTAGCATCACTTGTGCCCCGATGGAATAAGAGCTTAAGAGTTCACACATTTCAAACTAAGATTGGGAAACCTTTTGATTTTTTTTACCGAATGTTAAAAATATATATATTTATTTAATTAACAGTAATTCTGTTGAAAAATTGTAGTGCTGAAATGCCTTGAAGACTAGAACCTTTAGGAGATAAGCTGGCCTGATTCTACGATGTAGGAGTTGCTTATTATTTTGGCTTGTAAAGAATTGAGTGAAAATGAAATGTCACAGTTTTAACGCTGAATGAAAAAATGTTTTGAATATATTCAGTAGGCACTTACTAGTTTGTCACATAAACCTCCAAATACATCACTGCCTGTCTTGCAGTCTATTGCCGCAAACACCTATTTGCAACATCAAGAAGGAAAATGGGGGATTGCTGTCTTTTTGGTTTGTTTTTTGGTTTTTTTCTTACCTCCCTTGAATAATCTGATTGTGGAAGTATAATAGAGGGTACAAAGCAGCTTAAAAGCTAAGGCAGGTAGGTAAGATGGAAGGTTGCAAGAGGTACAAAGTGGACCGTGGTGAGGGAGAAAAAGCGAAGGGTTGTGACATGGCAGCAGCAGCAGAGTTTGTAACCATTTGCTAACAATTCTTTTTTCTATTTTTTCCCTGAGAGACCAGTGAGCCAAGTAACTCACTGTGTGGCTACATAACCACTTCTAGCCAAAGCAAGTGTTGGAATGCGTGGCCAGAATTGGGATGGGACTATGTTTCTTGGGTGAAAGTAGAGTCTTAGGTTGGCCATGTCAAGCATGAAAGAGCAGCTCTTTTTCTTTTAGAGAAGCCTCCTGTAGGTTGATCTCAGAACAGGTAGAAAGCTTTTTCTTTGGTTTAAAATGGGATTCGTGTGGACTCGATGCTTGTATGGTG